AACAGGAGCTTTTTACATAGAGACCAAATAAAACTGTAATCAGTGGCGCGTTACTTTTCATTAAGCGGCCCTGACAGCAGCAGCAGCAGCAGCACACTCCGACACAGGAGCAAAAAAAAAAAAAAAAAGGGGGTCCGGGCTGAAATAAACTGCTCTCAAACCCAGAGTCATAAGATAATTCCTTAAGCTCCATTAACAACTCTTAGCCGCAGGAAATGGGCTCCCCCTGAAAACATCTCCAAATCTAAAAGCTTTATCGACCTGGCAAACCTCAGCTGATGGCTTCTGTCGTTCCCCCAGTCCTACCTCTCTCTCCCTCTCTCTCTCTCCCTCTCTCTCTTTCTCCCCCCTCCTCCCTTTTCCTTTTTTTTTTTTTTTTCAACTTAAGGGACAGAAACGTCCAACTGAGGTAATAGACTTTGACACAACACATTAAATGGGAAATGAGAAAAGGGAGAAGAAAGGGCACTCTTAAACGCCTTTTAAACGTTACCAATTAGGGGTTTAAAACTTGAATAAGATGTAGGCCTTTGGCATATGCCTGGCTGATGGGACATTTAACTGAATGCCTTCCCCACTTGGTAAAAGCAGCACAGTGTGCATTTCTCCCTGTGAGGTTTAGGGGATTAATACCAAGCTTTATGGAGGGGGGCAAAAAAATGCACCAATCCTGTGCAACATGATTGTGGCAAGATCTTTTTTTTTTATTTCCTGATGCTGTAATATGATATCCTAAAAGTTATGGAACCATTGCTTTGCTTACTTTCTGTCAAGCACACCTTTGTGGTGGTCGGAGGGCCGCTATAAGCTGACAGAAACTCCCAACAATCAGCGACGTGGAGCCTTTTTCCCCCCCAGAGAGAAAACCAGCCGGGGTCAGGTTAATACCACTGTGACCCTGAGCCATAAATATATTTACACATCATTACACATCAACATACACACACACACACACACACAGAATCACTCTCAAACACATTGCTGCACGTCAGGCTTAATTGAATATTTAATCTATTCATTGACTAACATTAATATGGTGAGAATAGCAGTAATGTGATCAAAGCTTAAATGAAAATGTGAAGCATGACCACACACAAAGGGCAGTGTTGGGGGATCACACACACACACACACACAGGAGCAGCAGTACAGGCACAGTGCAGCTGTTGTGGCCCTTTTCAAGAATCAATGGAATGGCCTTTTATTCCAATTAAAATGAAGCATATTATATATTTTTTTTAAAAAGAAAAACGTAGCGACAATAAACAAAACAGCCTGTAGGTGTGTAATCATATAATTTCAAAAACATCGTTTTTTATGAGGATTAAATTGCATCTAAATGTCAGTTGATGTGAACGCTTGGCATGGTTGATCTTAGCAAATGAATATATTGACATAATACGGAGAAATGTGCAGCTTTGTCGAGCCGAGGAAAGTTTAGAAGACAAAAATACAGCAGCATTTTATTTATTTTTTTTATGGAGTTAAAGTTTTTTTTGGTGAATGACAGATCTAAATCCAAGAGTTGTTTATCTTGTCCTCATTCACTAGCCATGAAAGGGAGGTGCAGAATATTTAAGCCGCTGCTTTTAGATCTGAAGTGCCTCCTGCTATTCTTCGGCGATGTGGCCTCCGTGTGATCGAGTGCGTGTTTGCGGTTGTGCTCGGAGCCTCTACATGTCCAGGATGTGCCTGCGTAGGCCCCGGTGACTGGCCTTTATCAGCCGCTCGCTGCCATCACCTCTCTGCAGTCTTTCCACAGGTCAAGAGGTTTTAGCCTGAGGTGCATTGTTGTTCATCATCTCAGCCGTCTGTGCAAAGCCTGACTGATCGGCCGCACATTCCCAGATTCGTAATGTCATAGACAGAAATGTGCTCTTCACTTGTCTCCATCATGACGAGAGGTGGGTCCAAAACAGCGAAAACAGTTGTATATAAAAAGTTGCCACTGTTTTTATGTTAAATGCTTACCTTACTGTGTTTACCAATGGGCACAGCCTCCAAAAAGTCCAAGAGTTTAATCTCACTCTCTTCTAAGGTCAGATAAAAGGTCAAGAGGATCTAATCGTGGGTCATCACGACACACTTCAACTCTGTCAGACGACTTATCTCGGTTAAGCTCGCCACCGGATAACTGAGGTTTCATGAGCGAGCACCTGAGTTTATTATGAGGCTGAATCATGATTTTTATTTATAGCCTGTATGAGCAGCTTCTAGAATAAAATAACCACGGTTAAGAAACATGCTTACTGATGCTGAGTCAAACCCTCAGAGTTACTTGTAAATTAGGTGTAAATCTGCCACAACATCTTGCCATCATTATTCATTTACAATGTACGGATCAGCATCTGTGAAATTTACCTAAAGCCTGCCGTACTTGAGCAGGATGCAGGTATAGTTACACACAAGGAAAGAGGAAAAAGGAAAAAAAAAACAAGTTGGACTTTTTTTTTTCCATCTTCAGTATTGCTAAAGTCATGTAGAAGTAATTGCTAAAGGTCAAAAGAGACTGTGTTTTACCAAGACATTTGTGTTTATCATTCAAGACAGATCAATACAATATTGTTGTTTTAAAGAACAAAAGCCAGGGGAGACTTAACACTGACCTTTGGTTTCATTTTCCATTGTGTTCAGGAGGTCCAACAAAACATACTAATGAGGCCCTCAGGTTTGTCTGGAAACAAAAAAGGTTTGGGATATTTTTTTTTATACATCTCCTTTGAAAGAAATTTGATGCAGACCTTTCTCCACTGTGCTGAACTACTGTTGTTTCAGACTCACCAAGAAAACAACCCTAACTCCTAAAAATGATTTCTGCAAATCTAAACTGCATCCTAATTTGGTTTGGAGGGAAACAAATTAAGGGCACGCCGGCTCTGTGGTAAGCACCGTCGCCTTGTAGCTAGAAGATCCCCGATTTGCATCCAGGTTAGGACACCTGGAATCTTTCAGTGTGGAGTTTGCATGTTCTTCCTGTGCAGCGTAGGTTCTCTCCGGCTTCCTCCTGCAGTCCAAAAACATGCTGAAGTTAGTTGGTGATTTGGTGTATATATGATGGATGTTTGTTTGTGACATATCACAAATATATTGCTAGTCAACATATTTTTGCCATTAATTTGGAAAATGGAAGAGATTCTTCAACTATGTTACGTAAGGGTCGCTTTTTAACCGTTCTATTTTCAAAAATCTAACCTCGTTGTTTTGGTGCCGAGACCTAAACAAGCTTCACACCAGTAGTTAAAGCTGTAAAATCATTCATTTTAATCTAAAGCAATAGATTTTCCAAAACAGAACCATGCAGTTTTGCCTCCTAAAAGCTAACCAAACAGTGAGTGATAACAAAAGTTCAGCAGTAATGGTATTAAATGGACATGAACCCCAGTGTTATGGGTAAAATGCAGACTTAAGCCAGTGTTATACTTTTCATATTTGTAAGTATGTGAAGGTTTGGTAGAGTCTGTGTGAAGTAAATTAAGTTGTCTGCCCAAGTCAGTAAGAGTCCACATAAACCCTTCTGCAGATGTGGAGTCCTAAAGTCAAGGTTTACATACTAAATAAGAAGGCCTGGCTTATGCTAGAGTTCCTAACAGTCATAACAGGCTCATACATTCACATGGCTGTTGGTCGTTGTTGGTGCTTGTGTAACTTCATACAAATTTGTTCCAAAAGGTGGCTTGGTGGTTAGCACTGTCGCCTCATAGTTAGAAGATCCCCGGTTGGCGTCCCAGTTAGGACGCCTGGGATCTTTCTGCGTGGGTTCTCTCCGGTTTCTCCACAAAAACATGCTGAGGTTAATTGGTGATTCTAACTCACATAAGTGTGAATGTGTGTGTGCTTGGTTGTCTGTCTCTTTGTGTGGCCCTGTGATAGTCTGGCCTGGGTCGGCTGGGATAGACTCCAGCCCCCCCTGCGGATTAAGTGGTATATAGATATTGGATGGACAGTTTAAATAGTGATTGAAGTGGGCATTACGTTTAGCCAATCTTTATTTTTGTTCTAGTGAAACATAGAAGAGTGTGAACTAGTTGACTAGACTACATTGTGGGAATAAGAATAATAGAAATGTGCTTTTAAATTGTTAGCTTAAGTATGAAACAAGTCAAAGTGGACTGCTGGGAATTACATCCATATTGGATGACTCTGTGCCCAATGGGAGCAGCCTCGAGTTCATGCTTTGTCACAGACCTCCATTTGCCTTGTTAGCAACCCTAACCTTTTAACCTCTTCAGCTAACTTTAACCAAGTGTCTTGGTTACCTAACCTCAAATTCCTCTCCAGGCATTGTGTGTTTTTCAAGATTGTTTGAAACCTCGAAAAGCTCTGTGTATCAAAGTTACATATGTAGAAAACTTTTCCATGAAAATAATCTCTTCCACAATAGCAAGTCTGAACTGGAACCTGATTCTGATGGGGAATCCTGATACATAGAAGCGCACCCCCCCCTTAGGTTTGTTACACGTGGAATCCAGGAAGTCTGACTAAACAGTTTTGATCAATACTCTGCCGATAAACACGTAAATGATCAGTTACGTTCTGGCTGCTCATTTTAGTCAGGATGTGGCTTCCAGCATGTAAAAAACAAACAAAAACACCACTCTTGTTATGCATAAATTGGTTAAAAAGCACTGTTTCAATGAAGAATATTAACAGTCCTACAGAAGTTGAAGCGTCATAAATCTTCCTCATGCTGCCATCAGGCTTACAACCAAGTTGGTATAAACTATTTACCATCACATTTACAAGGTGAGGATGTTGTAAAATTAGATTTCCTGTGCAGTAACAATCGCCCATCCGTCTATCGATAGCGCCAGCTTTTCCTGTGCGTGTTTGTGAACATGAAGTATTCTCAGGGGCTGCAGAAGTGCATAAACATCGGTCTCCTGCAGTGTTGCATATACAAAGTGCACGCACACTATCACTGCACACCTCAGAGAAAGCTGGCATTTGATCAAAATTGGATCTGATGTACATGTCAAGGATGGCACAGGCTGTTCTGTACCATGAGCATGAACGCAAGTGTAGCTTTGTGGCCATGCATGAAAACTAGTTGTTACTCCTGCTTGCACTAGCTGCTGTGAAAACATTTAAATGTTTAGCAATCCAAGCAATTTCCTTTGGCTTACTTTTCACCAGAAACCAGAATTTTCTAAACTATGTGGTACATCTCACAGTGTTTTGCAGCAGTGAGAATGAAGGCAGATAGATTCCAAAATAGCACCTCTAACAAGTCCCGCAGAGAGAGGAAAAGAGACACCTTTGTGGGCCCATTGCTCCTGGGCTA